AAGTGGTAGGAGAACAAAGGTTGTTATGAAAGTCAGCAAAAGATAGGCAAGATAGTTTGGTAGGACACCTTCTCGGAAATGAAGGGCTAGTTTGTGATATATTAGAAGCAGAAGCAGGAGTTAAGAGAGGAAGAAATAGATTTAGATTAGATCACAGCTTGCAAACAGTTAGAGATGTAGGTAGTAGGTTTCTTTAGTTTTCTGGAAATGCGAAGATTGAGTCAAGATATGTAGGAAACGTATGGACACGTGTCCAACCAGATATATAACATAAAAACTCAAAAGGTATATTTTTATGTTTAACACTTGATACATTTCAGTCGTGGCATACCAACNAAATACTGTAGATAGAAAAGGTTAAAAAAGTGGTAGGAGAACAAAGGTTGTTATGAAAGTCAGCAAAAGATAGGCAAGATAGTTTGGTAGGACACCTTCTCGGAAATGAAGGGCTAGTTAGTGATATATTAGAAGCAGAAGCAGGAGTTAAGAGAGGAAGAAATAGATTTAGATTAGATCACAGCTTGCAAATAGTTAGAGATGTAGGTAGTAGGTTTCTTTAGTTTTCTGGAAATGCGAAGATTGAGTCAAGATAAAATAGAAGTGGACGTGCGTGTCCAAAGATATATAACATAAAAACTCAAAAGGTATATTTTTATGTTTAACACATGATACATTTCAGTCGTGGCATACCAACAAAAGTATTATTTAAAATTATTAATAGTAATAATTAGAAAATACGAAGGTCAATATGCCATGCTTCATAATTTTTCGTTTAATAGTTCTCACAAAATACGACTGCCACTGACAGAACAGAACCCTAATAAAAAAATATTTACTTATTTATTTGTGTTTAAATAATTCGTTAGGAAAGGAGTAATAAGAGAGATAGAACGATAGTGTGGGATTCTCATCTCTATTTTTCTCATTAACTTAAATGGCGCTTAGAGTTTGGGTAAAGTTTTGTGTTTTTAATTTTTTTTTAATTACTTTTCCAATATCAACCTAAACCTAATATTCTATAAAAACTCTTGTTTAGCTGCAGTTGTTTGTGTTAAGTGTATTTATATCTGTTGAGTAGTTGTTAATTGTAAAAATAAACATTTTTAAAGTGTCCTACTGTCCTGTTAGAATTTTTGGGTATATATTTACTTGTAATTGTCAGTAACATGGCTAATTAAGTTATAAATACGTATTTTTATAACTGCAGCCTACTGCATACATTGAAAATTTAGGAATTTAAATATTTTTATATAAGAGAAATGCAATATTTTAAAATGTTTAAAATTTGTAGCAATTTTTTGCAATAGATGATTTTTATTACTTATCGTTTAATAATCATTTAAATTCTATTATCATATGAACATTACAAGATGTTGTGGTGTACTAATAGATATAATCTACAGATTTTGAAAAACGGTTTCAAATACTTTAATTATTAGATGAACCTAAGCTAAAGAAATTTTGGGTTCTATTTTTTCTCCTTATTCCAATATGTAAAAGTCCAAAACCAAAATAGAGCTGTAAAAATGTTTTTGATATAAAAAAATTGAAGTTGGTATTGCATCAATAAAATTATTTACAACTCTGTTTTGGTTCTGATCTTTTACGTTAAAAAAACCATTTCGGTATCGGTGTTATGTCGTATTTTCCAACTAAAACAGGTGCCGAATGCACATAAGGAAACATGTTCAGGAATTTTTTGCTATTGAACTGAGAAAAGTAAAATATAAAGATATAAAAAATTATACTTCAATCACTTGAAACAGAAAACTTAAATTTCAGTATTTTGAACAGGCGGTGATAGTACAAACGCCACTATTAGCTTCAAGTTCAATTTACATTTAGATTTAAAATACAAAATAGAAACCTATTTTGAATAAGAATAATGAAAAAAAAGTATCACAATATTCTCCTTTTTAAGTTTTACAT